AAGACAGAGAAATCACCTGATGGTTGGGATTACTTTGTTGAATAGGCATGAAGCCATATGTTTTGAAAAACATAATTTGCTCCTTTTAAATCCTTACCAAATGTTTTTATTGTATCAGCACAACACAAAATTAGGCTTAGAGTTGATATACGTTAGTACAGTTGCATTTCTAAGTTTGGGTCAATATTCTGTTTACTGAGAATAGCTAAGTAAGTAAAAGAGTACCTGATTTCTGAAAGGCAAAAAGTGAAAGATCAAACATTCCTTCAATATTTTAAGCAAGATTACATTTTAATTTCGATCTTTTACAGTTTCAAAATAACAAAAAAGGAAAAGGGCCTAAAGCAAAAGTTTGGGCACCCTGCATAGTTAGTATTTAGTAACGTCCTCTTTGGCAAGTAACCAGCATAAAGCCTTTCAGTTCTTGTCTTGGGGATTTTCACCCATTCTTATTGCAAAAGGCTTCAAGTTCTGTGAGATTCTTCTATTTTGCATGCACTGCTCTTTTGAGGTCTATCCACAGATTTTTAATGATGTTCAGGTCAGGGGACTGTGAGGGCCATGGCAAAACCTTCAGCTTTTACCTCTTGAGGTAATGCATTGTGGATTTCGAGGGGTTTAGGATCATTGTCCTGTTGTAGAAGCCATCCTCTCGTCATCTTCAGCTTTTTTACAGATGCTGTGATGTTTGCTTCCAGAATTTGATGGAATTTAATTGAACCCATTCTTCCCTTGACCTGTAAAAAGTTCCCCGTGCCACTGGCTGCAACACAAGCCCAAAACATGATCGATCCACTCCCGTGTTTAACAGTTGGACAGGTGTTCTTTTCATGAAATTCTGCACCCTTTTTTCTCCACGTCCAAAAAGTTATATTTTGACTCTATTGGTCCACAGGACTTGTGTCCAAAAAGCATCTGGCTTGTTTAGATGTTCCTTTGCAAACCTCTGACACTGAATTTTGTGGTGAGGGCACAGTAAGGGTTTTCTTCTGATGGCTCTTCCATGAAGATCATATTTGTACAGGTGTCACTGCACAGTAGAACAGTGCACCACCACTCCAGAGTCTGATAGATCTTTCTGCAGGTCTTTTGCAGTCAGACAGGGGTTTTGATTTGCCTTTCTAACAATCCTACGAGCAGTTCTCTCAAAAAATTTTTTTGATTGCTCAGTCTTCAACTTGACCTCCACAGTTCCTGTTAACTGCCATTTCTTAATTACTTTACAAACTGAGGAAACAGCTACCTGAAAACACTTTGCCATCTTCATATAGTCTTCTCCTGCTTTGCGGTTATCAGGTATTTTAGTTTTCAGAGTACTAGGCAACTGTTTAGAGGAGCCCATGGCTGCTGATTGTTGAGACAGGGTTTCAGGAGTCAGAGTATTTATAAAGCTTTGAAATTTGCACCACCTGTTCTTTCCTAATGATGACTGTGAACAAGCCATAGCCCTAACAAGCTAATTAAGGTCTAAGACTATGGCAAAGGTTGTCTGAGAGTTCAAAGATCTTGGGGTGCCCAATCTTTTGCATGGTGCTCCTTTCCTTTTTTTCACTCAAAAATTGTACAAAACAAAAATAATACACTGATCTTACTTAAAATGTTGAAAACCATGTTTGATCTGTAACGTCATGCCTTCATGGAGATCAGTTCATCTTCTACTCACTCAACTATTCACAGTAAAATAAATTTTGAACATGGGTGCCTAGATTTTTGCATGCTACTGTACATGTGTGACATCAGTCAATTGCTTCATCTTCTCTCAACACCACAGGAGTATAAAAACTTCAAGAAATGCTCCACTGTACTTTGGGTCCCAACATACCCGGCTTGGATGCAGCTGAGATGGTGTAGCTTGTGCATGCATACGTATCACAGTATCATCCACCGCTCTCAGTAACAGCTGAATCGTACCATGTCTCAACCGCTAAACAAAAAGTAGAACCAAAGTAGAACCAAATCAGATTGTGTAAATGAGCAATATTCCTCAGTTTATCCATTCTCATGAGTTTCACATTATAACAATATAGGCTGAGTTATTGTACTATAATGTGAAATGTTTTATATTTTAACAATATAAACAATATATTCTTTATAACAGGAAATATTTCTTGTTATAATGTGATAAGTTTGTAAACCTTAATAACATAAAAATACTCTTCCTACAAATTTTAAAAAATTGCTATGATACTGAAACATCTTGTTATAATATTCTTTCACAATGAATTATAAGATTTTCAGTTGTTTTCCGTGACATTCAGCCGTTATATTCATTTGTGACTCTCCTCAGCAATAACAAATTATGAGCATTATTCATTTGAGGCCTCTGGATAGACAGCAATCAGTGGCCAGCAGGAAAGTCTTTTTTGTAGCTGAAACAAATGGACTGCAAGGGCCAGAAAACATTTTAGAAAATCATTCTAGAATCTAAGGTTGGCTCTGCATGATATTATATATGAATGTTTTGATTTCATTTTTTATTCTTTACTTTTTATCTGGGTGCTGTTAAATTCACTCTTTCCAAGTTACAGACCTGTCGAGCAACAACTGCAGCAATACTGTATTTTCTATTTTCTTCATTGACCACTAGAGGCTGCTGCTGGGCCACAAATAACAACTCTTGAGAGACATGTTCCCAAGCCTTCCTGCAACTCATTGCCATTTACTACCACTTACACTCACACAAAGCTGAGACAAGGCACAGTCTTGCCCTGTTTTAAAAGAAAACGCTGTTTTATCATTCTATTCGGCATGCTTGGGAAATCTCAGTAAGTTATGTAAATATAATTTAAAGACAAGACAAAACATATGCACAATGCATTTATATGCATGTGATGTATTTGTATTGCATGCACATAATACAGCCTATATTATTCATGCAGTTATTTTTGTAGTTTGATTGACTAAACATATGGCATATTAAAATGCCCAGCCATGGACGTGAGAATAATAATTATTAGAATTAAAACAATTTTCATAATTCCTACAGTACATTTAATGCAGCAATATTTCAACTTTCACCTTCGCACAGGTCTAAAGGGCTCTCATTGGTTGATCCGCCCTGATGCGACAAGAAATCCCGCCATACGATTGGTTGGCTCGTCCTGTCAATCGCGGGGGAACCAGCTAACCAGCAACCAGCCTCTGCGTTGCTAAGGTAAGTTAAACAGCTGCGTCAAGTTCCCCGCATTTCACCCTAAAGTCAGGCAACTGTGCCTTTCAAAATAAAATCATTCAGCGTGCCACTTTGGGAATTTAAAACTATTTAAGGCGGGCTACTGGGGTTTTTAGATAAACCAAAAACATGGGATATACGTAGGCTAGACTAGAACTATCATTGGAAAATGAAAAAGCACAGACAACGCAACACCCCATTTTTCTGACGGCATAACAATGACATTGTGGATTAAAGCATTATAAACCATTTTAAATATAAAAGATAAATTCACCCGTTTTGCTCAAGCTGCAATTCTGGTTCAAAGCTATAAGGGACTGTTTGTTATTTATGAGGGGGTGGTGCAAAACGTGGGAGGCATGACAATTTTTTAAGCACTGGGGAAGGACTGTTTATTATTTTTGGCATAAAGGAGGAACACAACATTAAATGGTTGTGTTTTGCATTGATTTTAAATACCATCTGAACTCTAAAACAAGCTTTAAATGCATGTTTTCTTTAAAAGTTGCCCAAATCACACTATTTATCGTAGCCACATCATGCACGAAGAATGCTTCCATTAGGAAATGTAACCAATCTGGGCCTAAAATAGTGATATTTCATCAAAAGCACTTTATTTTACATGCTCATTTTTAATTTGGCCAAAAAATAAACTGTCTGCATTATGAGATCCAGAAAAAAACATCAATAAATTCTCCACTCCTGCATAGATGGCAGAAGAGAAAAACCAAGGCTATTGTCAATTCCAGGATTTTTTTCAACTTTTAGCTTTCAAACATCAAAGGTTTTTAAAATCTTATAATGTCCACCGTGCCAATACTGGTATTATTTTTGACTGACTGTTGCTGTTGTGTATTTATTTGGGAAAATGGTCATTGTGCATGTTGCTAATGCTGCATGGGAGCACGCTGTGATGCCTGCATGAGTGTGTGTGATGTGTTCGTTTATCAGATTTTGTTGGTGTTGTGGTAGGACCAATGACGGGAGGCTGTCATGCACCCGTATTCTGCTGAACTGCACACACAGCTTGAGTGATTATGATGATGCGATCTGTAAGGAGGGTTTGCACTTTGCTTCAGAAATTAGCTGCTTGTTTTGGTGATAACTCTGCTGTTCTGTTAGCTCGTTGCATTGGCTCTAGTCTCTATATACAGACTCTACATTCAGTGAACGTAGAGTCTGTAGGCAAACCTCGGAGATCTTGCCTCCGGAAGAAGAGCGGAAGAGCCCTGGTTTCCGGTACTAGGCTGTTTGTAATCTGTGTGATATTGATCTATCACGTTTGAGCCGGCTGCAGTTGTTGCCAGGTTAAACGTTCTGTGCGGTGAACTAACAAGGTGGAACATAATTGGCGTCACTGCAAACTCTGAATCCATCGCAATGGTTCAGCATATTTACTTATATATAAACGGAAGTCGGAAACGGAAATTCGCCTCCTCAAACAGGAATGCCAAAAAAATCGGGGGGCTGCCTCCAAAGGCTGTATCGCCATCTGCCGGAAGTCAGACGCCGAATACAGCCGATGGGTTCCGAGAATGCATTGGCTCCAATAATATAAAACAATATGGTTATTTATTGTGGAGGGAGGGTCATGCATTTTCCTCTAGTCACTAGGGGACACTTAAGAAAAATATCTGTAGTTTCAAGGAGAGTCAAGATAAAAAATTGAAAAAGTGAAGTCCCACCCCAGCCACCCCCCTCCTCTGATGAGTAAAGAACAGTCCCTAAAAAATGTAACGCCGACAACCGTTTTATTTTGAAAGCAGTAAGCGGAAGTCCCGTATCTCATTGTGACAAGCTTTTCCCTGGCACTTAAAACTGTTGGTGATGCTGTCAGTTCATATGGCTAGCGCTACTGTACAGTACCTGGTTAAAGAATAAAGAGATGTGGCAGCTCGAGGACAGTGCTGTGTTTTATGAGGAGAAATGTCCGGCGAATGCACAGTCACCATTTTACGGAAAATGAAAATACATGGAGTCATTTGAGAGCCATGCGTTTTCTCCCACAGTTGGCAGGCAGGTATTTTCCTACAGCCAGGCGTCGCACTGGGAAAGCATTTCACTTGGCACCGCCGCTGGCTGGTGATTTAGCATGAATGCTAGCTAACTTATGAACAACACGCATGTTTATATTTAGCCGTAGAAGCAACGTTAACAGGCAGCAGCAGTTTTTTATTTTAATTTATATTTTTTATGAATTGTCGTTGTCCGCCTCATGGGGGGTTCACACATGTCCCTCCATAAGTCAGAACCTCCAGACATAAACTCTGAAGTGTCTGTTACATGTTAGCTGGCATCTCCTACATCGTGAGAAGAAACCGTGTGTAGTGTTGTAGGCGTGTGTTTCGTCTTGCAGGCAGGTAAAGAAACTTCAGATGTGCACTGTCAGGCAGGATAAATGATGTGGAGCAGCTCTTCAGACAGGGGACCGACCCAGGACTGCCACACTACACCAGCTGTGTGTCACTGTGGACGGAGCTGAGAGTGTTAACCCAGACGAGTCCTCAGACCTGACAGCTCCACCTCGCCATGGGACCCTAAACCAGCTTTTCTACACCATCTTCATCCACCTGTGAGGACTTCTGGGCTTGGTGTCCACCCGTCTGTCTCCAGCTCTGTATTGTCACCCGTCTGTCTGTGAGAAGATGTTTGGACCAGCAGTGATTCAGTCATGACAAGGCATGTCTATGGTCTGCAGCCAAAGGATGCATTTCTGAAGTGGACCCAGACAGAAGTGATACACAACCTCATGGTGCAGAATATGTTAAAATCAGGGGTTCCGGGGCATTCTCCCACCAAGGACTCTAAAATTACAGAGTAGATAAAAGCTGATGAGGCGTTGCTATAGGGGACCTGATCTGAGCCTCTTGTGGATTACTGTTGGTGCTGTCATCTGGGACAGAGACACCTGTGATCACATTATTTAGTCCGTGGAATTAATCTTTTCCTCTTTGGACGCAGACCCCCCCTGGATACCTGCCCAGGGCCCCCCTGGTGGTCCCTGGACTCCACGTTTGGAGCCCCTGGTTGAAGTTCTCAGAGCTCTTGGAGAAGAGCTACATTTATTGAAACCCTTCCTGTTTTCTGTCATCCCACCAAGAAAGACCTTTTTTTACCATGCATTGAAGACTGAACTGGAAGCCTTAGCGAGAGTCAAGTTTACACGGAGTCAGCCATGCCTATCAGAAAAAAAGGTGAGTTACTGTATGTGCCACAGGTAATGAGAGTTTTTGCTCCTCCAGCTTCCATCCGACTCCATAAAATGTGACTGATAAGGAAGCTGTCACATCACCTGTGTTGCATTTATTCATGGTTCAGAGAATCAGTCTAAGCTCAGGTTTGGCTGTACTACCTTTTGCTTTCCATTAGCCTCAGGAAAGACTACATGGCTAACGGTATGTGGACATTACTCCACACAGGTGCTAGTGTTGCCCAACTTCAACAACAGTTTGTCCTTTTACTGTTTCAACATGACAACACCCCCTGCATAAAGCCAGCTCCATACAGAAATGTTGTTTTGTGTAATTGCTGTAAAAGAAGTTGACTAGCTTGCACAGAGTCCTGACCTTAACCCCACCCAACATCTTTGGGATGACCTGGAACAGTGATTGTGATCCAGGCCTTATAGCCCAACATTTGTGCTGGACTTCAGTGATGTTCTTGTAGCTGAATGGTAGCTACAGCTTCCACAATGGAATGACCCGTTCAACTATCACATAAATCTGGAATGCTGGGGTGTCCACATGCATTTGACCATATATTGTTTTGTCTTCTGTCCTATTCTAATGAAATGTGAACAGGGGCTGTTGACTGTGCAGCTTTGCATGGAGCTGATGGTACACCTCCTAAACCCAGTTTGCTCACTTATATATTTACAGACAAGTATATGGGCTGATGTACTTCTTAGTGACCTTATTTACCATCATTGACAATATTGTCCCTTCACACTTAATACTGTCAAATGAATACTGTATAAAATATGAAGAATATATATATTTATTATATGTAGAAAGCAAACCAAGAAAACACCAAAGCCTGTCTTATCTGCCCCCTCCTCTGCAGACACAGCTCGAGCCTTGGGGCTTTTGGAGGAGTACTGCACTAAACTGAGGAAGCCGGAGGAGCAGCAGCTCAAAACTGCCATTCAGAGAGTAATGGGAATTTTCAAAAGCAACCTGTTTGAAGCTCTTCTTGGTAAGTCAGTGAAGCACAACCAATCCATCACGCAACTGGTATTTTCTGTCAACTTCACATTGAAGTGGTTTTCAGTAAAACTAAAGCATTTCAAAGCAGTGTCATATTTTTGAAGTACTAAAGGTATACACGACTGTGTGGCTGGCTCCTTATGAGCTCACCAAACCTTACATTACATTTAATAGCTTGTTTATTTTATATCTTAACTTATTATAAACAATAAGCAGCTGTGTGTTTATAATTACAGACAATAAACAATAAAATCACACAACTTTAATGGCAGATGCAGAGGCTCACACCATGACTGCAGTCTTTCTAAATGCATCCACAGTTTGATTAGTCCAGTCTTTACACCACACAGGTCTCTCAGTGCATGTGCGATCAGAGTTGTGGGGGTCCTGGAAAAAAACCCATTCCATTTAATAATGCTCTGTTTCCAGTGACGCCATACAGAATGCAAACAACAACAATAGTTTGTGTATTGAATATCTTCTGTAATTTATGCATATAAATGTATTAAAAATAATGTAACCCTATTATACAACAGTAAAACAGAAAGCAAACTTGCACATTACATACAGGCCTGTTTCAAAACAGTCTCAGCAACATACAGAACACTGCAGGCCACTACCATTTCCTTGTTGGTGTAGCATCATTGGATTATTATCGACAGGAGTGAATACAGCATCTGCTGTTCCAGTAGGCGTTGCAGTGAAAGATCACTGGAATGTCCTAAGTAATATTCTACTTATTTTTGAAATCAGGTACATTTTACAAACCTAAAAATATGAAGTTATTGTCTACCAGTGGTCCCGGGGGACCACTGTGCCATTAACGCTGGTGCATTTTTCAGACGACAGCAGCACACATAGCTTCAGAGGGCCTGGGGTGAGAGCGGGCGGGCAGACGGGCATGTGTCAGATCTGTGCATAGTATTGGCACGAAATCACAGACACATCAACAACATTACTATGATAACATCCAAAACAGAAGATTCACTCTCAGTGGTTTCTATGACATGAGGAACACTTTCAAAATACTAATGAGATACAAAAATACACAGAGCTACCCACAGGACCATAGCCCCACCTAGTAAAAAAGTTATGCCATGCCACTGTTCCATGAGTTCAACATGGATTTGTTTCCACTGTAGTATCATCAGGTAAAAAAATAGGGTGCATCCCCTGAATGCTTTGATACTTCACTGCATCCTTCTGATTTTAATGCTTTAGAGACACAGGGCACATACCTAGCAACATCACTGCTCAGTAGTGCACTTCTAAAGAAACCTAGACTTGATCCTCTGGATTTTTGGATTTTATGATTGGGATTTTCTGTTCACACCATAACACTGAAATTGCCCTTTTTAGAGTAACAGACAGTTTTTTTATTTTTTATTTTAATTCTTCTTGATCTCAGCTCATCACGTGACACAGTTGATCATTCTGTTCTGTTGGATTGCCTTGAAAAGGGGGTTGGCATCAGGCAATCTGCTCTATACTGGTTTAAATCTTAATTGTCAGACAAAAATTTTTTGGTGTTGGTCGCTGATGCCCCCTCCTCTGTGGTCCTGCTGACCTATGGTGTTCCACCAGGCTCCATCCTTGGTCCCATGTCATTATGTGTATAGATGCTGTCACTGGAACATATCATACATAACACAAATTCAGTACCATTGTCATGCAGATAACATGCAAATCTAAATCCCATTAAAAAATTGTGAAGGAGACACCTTTCAAGATCTTGTCATTATCTTGTCTGTTAGAATTAAAGTGCTGGCTGTCCCAAAACATTTTCCAGCCTAATGAAAACAAATCTGAAATCCCTTTTTTTGGTACTCCAAAGTCTATCATAGTTTTACAAAAACATCTTGGCTCTCTGTGAACAAATGTCAGACTGCAGCCAGAAAACTGAGAGTAATATCTAATGGAGAATAATTTAGAAAAGTTTCAATCATGTTTATTCTTGTTTTTATCATTTCGGAGCATCTGAAAAATTAAATCATAATTGTTTATAGTTAAATAATTGTTTATTATTGTTATTCATTGTTGTTATTTAGGAGTCACAGTTTGGTGTGAATTCAGTACAGCGGTATAAACAAATGCATGTTTTCAGTTATTTTGACAGTAGTGCAAGTGTCAAAGACAGACACAATCCCCCTGCTGGAAACCGAGGTAGCACTTTGTCCAATGACAACTTTGGTAAACTATTTTCATTATAAAAATAAGGAAGATCTCAAACATTGCTGTATTACACTGTATGAACACTGAAAAAATACTTTTTCAAACTTAAAAACATCTCTTGGCTCGAAATTGTAAATACAGAATATACAGGTGAATGAAAAAGTAAAACTTGTGCATTACAATGAGAGTTACAGTCAGTTCCACTATGGCTTTATGTCAGTGTAAATACCTTTTGCTTCAGTTACCGTTTAATCCCGTTCTGCTTTTGCATCTAAAGGGGGATAAGCAAACAAGTTCCATTTTGTTTTGTCGTCCTTTTGATTGGTACATTTTGGTGATGCCGCTAAATATGCGTTAGCATGTTTGACGTGTTTCCATCATATCCGCTTCATCTTCAACTCTCTCTGTAGCTGTTGTAGCTGATTAGGAACCTGCAGGCGGGTCTTCTATTCCCAGCATTTCATTTACGTTAGCCATAGTGTGACTGACTCACATGCCGGTCTCTTTGTGCTGAACTCAGAACATGTTGGTAACGGCATACAGCTAAAGTTTTCCAAATGGAACTCATGCCTCTGAAATTAGGTTCCACATCACATGCATCAATCTACATACCATGTATGCGCTGCTTGCACTGAACTGTAACCCCAGCACTGTGACGTTTTTGCAGAGATACGCAAACTGTTAAAGCCCTAACCAAATCACTATGTCTTAATAAAATATGATCTATTGAAATTAAATGCAAAGTGCAACTCTGAGAAGTCCAAAAATCCACCCCTGATTGCTTGTAAACATGGGACAGCCCGTGTTAACACGACAGGTACAGGTCCTGGGCCTCGATGGATGACTGGCAGTGAGAAAACTAAATCTTGGCTGCTTTGCCAAATGAGTTGTCTCTGAAGCCTCTGTATCCCCAGTTTTCTCTTCCTCATCATCAGTCCCCTCCTCCTGCAGTCTTGATGGCAAACTCTGAGTAGTGTAGACCCCCCTCCTTTATTTTGTAGAAGATTCTGAGTTCTCTCATTATCATTTTAAATAAGGGCTTCAACTGATAAATGGGGGTTAACAAAACATGCAACCACAGCAAGAGGAGACAACTTGTTGGCTGTGATAGCAAGGAAGCAGCTGAAACATTGATCCATATTTGCACTCATATACTGTGCAATTGGAGCTATGTCCCTGGCATGAGCTATGGAGAACTCATACAGGTGACTCCTCAAGTCCAAGTTATTTTTAATCATTTCTAATGCCAGACATAAGGGCCAAATCAAACCATCTGTGTTTTTTAAACCCACAAACAGTGGCAGGGATGCTAGCAGCTCTGTTGCTGATGGGAGGGAAGCTAGTCCTGGCCAGAGCACTAGCAGCTGTCCTGCCGTAACTAGACAAAAAAACAACAACCAAAAAATCCCCCGAAAACACAGGCTTTGATCCATTTTGGCTGTCAGAGAGAAAATTGTCCTTCTGGGGTTTACAGGATTGATTGATGGTAAGATTAGGTGCAAAAGTAAAAAATGTGTACACATATGAATGTTCTTGTTGTTAAAGATGGGGTAGCCAGAAATCTGGAACATGTTAAGAAAAAAAAAAAAAATGCAAGAAAAAAAAGGGCAGACTTTAAAAAAATACACCCTCCTCCTGCAGCTCTCCCCTCTTTGTCCCAAGCCCCTCCCACCAGATGACCACTGGCATATGCCCGTGTTTCATTCAGTAACCCAGTGTTTCCTATGCATTGATTCATTTATTCTTATTTCATTGTAGAGTTGACCTCAGTGCATTCACTGAGCCTCCCCTTGCTCCACCCTCTCTGTTTATCAGACCACAAATGACACAAGAATCGGCTAGCTAGCCACCCCATTGTTCCTCCACCTCGCTCCTTGCCGAAGTGGACTGCTTGACTGTGAGGAGAGCAGGCAGCAGCTCTGGAGCTACTAACCTTCGTTCAGCTGTAGCAACTTAAATTCAGCCAGCGCCAACCCCCCCGGTCTAACCTGTGTAACAGCAGCAACAGAAAGTTTGCTGATTTGGGGCTGTCCAGCCCACTGAAGCTGGTGTTTGTGCTGGCTGGATCTGGGTACTTGCTGCTACTGACTATGAGTCTGTCTCTGGAGCGGCTGCCCACACTGCTATGGATGAGGTGGTCTGTAGTGGTGGGGAGTGAGGCGGATGACACACTGTGATTCAAGGCTCTAGCTAGGGCTGCACGGTATATGCGGTAGATGGTAGAAAAGATATAAATTTGGCCCACGGTAGAGATTTGCACTCTACCGTCCTATCGTCGATGACGTCATCACACCTGCCTCAGTGTGAAAATGGCTGTGAGCACAGAGACAGCGGAGCAAGAGGAGCTGGTTCACGTCCGTGATTTAGCGTAGCACGTGCAACGTGTTGCTGGAGAACTTGTGAGTGAGTGAGTTATGAACAGCCCCGGACTTCTCAGACTCTTTTAGCGACTTACCGCTCAGAGGGAACTCATTCAGTGTCTCCTCTGGCAGCAGCACAGCGTCTCTCCCCTCTCCTCTCTCGCCGTGCGCACACCGGAGTTGGTTTTCGGCAAGAGAGTTTGTCATAAACCTTTGGTAATGTAAACATATGTGACGCTAGGGGCTCCACAAAAAACTCCATATGTGAATGTGTGATAGTTGTGGTATCATAGCAGCCTGTCACAGGTTACAGCGTGATGATTAGAGGAGAAATGGCAGAGCATAAAGGTCCAGGTGGAAAAAACACAACTCAGTCATTTAGGATTTTGCTAAAAGAAGGAAATTACCTTTTGATATAGATCCCAGGGAACATTTTGCACCATAGAGTACTGGGTTT